TACAACTCAGAAACTATTCAACATAGGAGCTTCAGATTTTCTTTGGTAGTTTAGCTCTGATGAAGGGCTATCCATCAGGTCAACCAATGCCAAAAAAAGACCCCCTCCCAAACCACTGCAATTTTGGGATGCACCTGGTAGCATGACATTTATTAGGAATAAAGACTTCTGAGTTCCGTTGCATTTCTGCGTGCGGGGGTCATTATGTTACAGCTATGCGGTATCTACTTTTTACATTAAGTCAGACATACTTGTAGTGCTTTATAGTGATAATTAAAATATATGTTTTAACACTGTTTGTACACTCAAAATGCCTCATAGAGCACTATTATTGTAATTGTAATTCTTGCTCTGTTGCAGAGCAAAATAATAGAAACGCTTTTTCCAACGTTTGAAACTAGAACGCTTTAAACTTGGAACTGACGTCAGTCCGGCTTCAGAATTTTTAGTTCCAATACAACTGGAACRCAGCACAAGAACTGAGCCCAGGCTGCACTGGAAGTGTTATTTTTTGCTCTAATTGCCTTGAAAATAACCACAGAATTCCATGAAAAGAGATTGGATTAACATGCTGATGTGATGAAAGAGTTAATAACACAGCCTTCACATGAAAGCTGTGAAACTTTGTTTCTCCAAACTGTTCAAAGAGCTATCTGCAGCAGGTAAGATACTTGATCTTCAGCCTTCCTTTCTGTTTAAATATCCTTTTAATGTCATATGAGAAGTGATTTGATGAACTTTGATGACAGTTTCTGATGGTTGTGCCATGAAATGTGCCCGACCTGAACCTGAAGTTCAGTCGTTCTGTGCATCGTGTTGAAGCAGCCATTTTAAACAAAGACAACCTCCATCAGGTCTTCTCGTCTGAGACCTTCGAACACTTTGACTTCATTCAGGTTTTGAATGGCACCTGTTTTCCCAGAGGGTGGGAGATGGAACAAATATCTTTGTATAATGTTTGTTTTGTTGTTGAAGAGCTGATAATAAAACCTGATCTGTGCGATGTGGTGACGTGTTTTCTTCCAGCTGCGCAGGTGTCCCCACCCCCCGGTCATCAGAAACCCAGACTGTCAGATGTGTCTGGACTCTTGTTGATGTGACGAGCCTCACTGTGAGCGTTGCTATGGCAGCTTGTGGATGGAGTGACTGAGAACAAGGGGGGGTGTGTATTCCTGTTTGTGGTGCTAGTATGGTGAAGCGGGTGCTAATTGAGTGCACAAATGTTGGGGGGGGGGGGTCCTAGACAATGAGAGGATTGTGTGTCTTTGCCCAGAAGCAGAGTTTTTTGTCTCTGTACGGTAAAACTCGTCTCTCTTCCTGTCGTAGCTCTCTGTTTGGGCTCTCCAACTCAAACATGGACAAAGTGCTGGACCTGCAGAGGAATGTGTCCATCGCAAAAATGTGTGTGTGTGCGTGCGTGTGCTGGTCCTGAGCTGGACCTCGCCTTGCAACAAATGCAGACTGACAGCAGGAAGTGAGTGCAGTGAGACCACCACATTGCCCTGCTCCCCCTGCTCATTATATAACTCCCTCCTCTGCATTCTCTCTCGGTGACACACTGGGATCCTTCACTGGATTGTTTGGTGGTGGTGGTGGGGGGGCTCCACAGACTGTTCCACTCATCTCTGGCGTCAGGAAGCAAACGTGGCTTGTAGACGAGATGGAAATCCCGGGTGATAAGTGTATTTTGTGTTAACTTTGTCACGTTTGTCTGTAGGACGTTAGTTTCAGCAGTTCTTCATCGCTATCATGGCAGCAAGTATGGGCCAGTGCCCCAAATATCTGTGTCCTCAGCCGGTCACAGATAACATCTGAGAGGCCTGCTCCTTACTAATGAAACCATGTGTGTGGGGACTGCTTTCCCTACGTTGTGGGACAGTGTTTTGTTGGCATACACACCTACTTACGTGGACCTGAGTCTAGTCCCCAAAAGGGAAACACAGTGGGTCAGGGGTTAAGTTTAGGACCAAGTTTGAATTGAGTTTAGGTTAGTTTTAGGGTCAGGTAGGTTCCTGTGAGGTTAATTTTAGGGTAAATGGTCAGGGTTAGGTTATAAAATCTAAAGAAAAAAAATGAATGTAAGTCAATGGAAGCTACCCACATAGTTCAAGTTCAGTTTACATGTCCTTCTCAAAAAAATTAGCATATTGTGATAAAGTTCATTATTTTCTGTAATGTACTGATAAACATTAAACTTTCATATATTTTAGATTCATTGCACACCAACTGAAGTAGTTCAAACCTTTTATTGTTTTAATATTGATGATTTTGGCAAAAAAAATAAAGAAAAAACAAAAATCCCTATCTCAAAAAAATTAGCATATCATGAAAAGTTTCTCTAAATGACTTATTAACCTAATCATCCGAATAAACGAATTAACTCTAAACACCTGCAAAAGATTGCTGAGGCTTTTAAAAACTCCCAGCCTGGTTCATGACTCAAAACCGCAATCATGGGCAAGACTGCTGACCTGACTGCTGTCCAGAAGGCCATCATTGACACCCTCAAGCAAGAGGGTAAGAAACAGAAAGACATTTCTGAATGAAAAGGCTGTTCCCAGAGTGCTGTATCAAGGCACCTCAGTGGGAAGTCTGCAGGGGCGGAGTGGGGAAATTTTTCAGCCCGGGAGTTTAATGGCCAAGACCGGCCCAATTTTTGTACATATAAAAAATTAGACAAAGATGCAGCACTACCATGCAATATTTTTGTATTTTGCATTCACCTATCAAAACCTGCCTCTTCACATTCATCAACAACAAAATAAATGTTTCTGCTGTGGTGCAATAATGTGTACTCAATCACACTTATATGATGTTCACCTGCATTATACTACGTACTGTAGCAGCTCTTTCATCTCACCAGGACTACAGTTTGACAATCAACTAGTTTCATAGAACACAGTTCAGTTTTGTAGTACACAGGTGGAGCACTACAGATGTGTTGGTTTATTCTCTCTAATGCTAAGCAATGAGCATCAGAAGCATTGTAATGTGTGTGAGGGGGCATTAGTSGGGGGCTCTGGGGGTCCTCCACCAGAAAATTTTGAAACTAGTAGATGGAGTTTCCTGCATTCTGGTGTATTTTACTAGGTTCCTAAACATACTTTTACCTACATAAAAAAACACTTGATCAAATAACTAAATTAGAGACAGATTCTAGTTGAATCATCCTGTTTTTAAACTCATTGCTGTGGCTCAGATAATGAAATTAAGGTGAAAATTTATCCCAAACAATGACTTTAGAGGACAATTTTACTTTATATTGTTTGTTCTTGATTTAGTTTTATTTGTGCCAAGAAACTGCATGTTTAAAATATTAACTACACAATGAACAGATTGGAGACATTTATTTTTCTGATTAAATGACAGGTCTACTCATAACAAACTGACATGACATCATGCAGCCTTTTACCATATTGGCACTATCAAACAG